CCCCCCCCCCACCCCCCGGCTCTTGCGTCAATCATCTTTAGATTAGTTAGTCAATAAATATTCAAATTTGTCAACAGTTTTAGTAATTCTTGTTTCTTGTCCAGTAATTGTAACAAAACTTGTTCCTTCTAATTTGAAACTTCAACAGATTTTAGTTTGACTGGCACAGAGTTACTATACATTTAGAAGAAAACAGTTGCATTCCAAATCCGCTTCGTAATGGCACTGATTTTCTTCTTAGAATTGATCATATCCCTTCACTCCATACATCTCAATATACTTCACTGTCTGTACTGACGATAGTATCATAGAAACTGACTGAGAAGTTAGTCAACGCCATAACAAACGGAGTAGAATGAATACCTATATGTTACGATAGCATATAAGGCAAGTATTTGGGAGAAGAAACAAGCTATATTGATGATGTTTACCGAATAACTAAGTCCAAAGATTGACCACCTCACCCCCAAAATGGATTAGTTCTACGTTATGCCATCTTTTCTACGTTATACCGAATAACTAAACTAGCCACTATTTTCCTTATTCTCCTGAGGAGGATCATCTTGATGATCTCGAAAAAGGATGTCAGAAATTTCTATATACATGAACAAAAAGGTTTCCGAAAGACATGAATGATGGACTATGACATAAAGATTCGGAATAACTCTTATCAACATGTTTAGGAAGCAAAGACAAAAAAAGAGGAGTGAGAACAAGTGCAAGGACAAGTAAGCAACCTTCAGGAAATGTTGTTTCTATCATCTGCAACTTGGGCGTGGCAGCTTCTATTTCTGGTGATGGAAGCATGTATCCGGCCAAGCCATGTGGTGGAGCTGCAGCATGTGAAACTTGCTGCAACACGTCTGCAGGACATCTATGTTTACAATTGAGAAAGCCTCGACACAACTAAGTAATTAATGCAAGAGTTTACACAAACCAGGAGAAGGGGTCCAGTGCTTCGCCTTGAAATAGTAGACTCTTTCATAGTGATGGAGCAATGAAATATAATACTTCCGGAGGATAAATGAAGCATTTGTGGCTGAAGAAGGAAAGCTAAAAACTGTTGTTACTTCCTTCCATCTTTTTTCCCCTAGAACCTGCAATTTCATTTGAAAAATCCTACTTGTAAGAAGAGCAAAACCGCTACAGATTCAACAAGGATTTCAACTCAATTAATCCAAGGCATTTATGTCAAAATATAAAAAATAAAAAGAGCACCAAAAGTTTGAAGATAATGAGTCTGAGTTACATATCAAGCTATATTACCTTTGCGATACCACCACGAGTAGTTACCTCGACAAAGAGGCGATGCAAATCCAGCGGTTTCCCCCCTATAACCGGGATCCTGAAAAATCACAACCAACAGAAGCATTAGTGAATTAACCGAGTGAACCATACAAACCTGAGACAATGATGAGAACGGAGAAGCCTATTATATTTCATGTTTGAAACATTTGATACTTAGCAAGAAAAGTCTGAAAGATTGGTAGAGTATATTTGCATAAGGAAAGCATAAAAGTTAGCAGATCATTTAGCACCTATAAAATTCCTGATCGCTATTTTACACTGGAAACTAGGTGAAATGCCCACTAAATGGGATGTTATGAGTTATGACCACTCATTGGAGCTCAGAGAAAACCCAAGGCTGACTGATCAATAGAAGCAGTGGCGGAGCCAGAAATTCTAACAAGCACGACACTTAAAAAATTCTTTATATAAGGGGATTCGACAAGTTATATATACATGCTTTTTGTTTTACCTATACACGCAGTACAATTTTCCGGCGAAGGGGGTTCAATTGAACCCCTTCACCATAAATAGCTCCGCCACAGAATAGAAGCTCCGACGAGCTTTGCTTTGAGCAAAAAAGAATCTCTATTTAAGCATGATCAGGATGAATCAGAGAACAACTTAAAGCATATCTCCCATTTTCGAGTAGGCAGTATGATCACATCACGCCTAAGGATTAGGCCGAAAACAACTTAAAAAAGCTATTTCCAGTTATTTTTTTTATATTTAAACAACATATGGCAGGGAGGCACAGCATGTGACAGGAAAGAGAAACAGGGTTGGGGGCACCCAAGGGTGTCACCTCACCTTTAATGAAATGGGCAAAATCATGGGAAAGCAAGTTCAATAAGGGGCAAAATATGCTAGGTGATTTCTTTCAATATGCTAAGTGGTGCAAAGTTGCCCGGTAACTGTACTGGTGGAAGGTATATATACTAGTGAAATTATCCAAGTGCGCGCAATCTGCTCCTACATTAACATTATTAAAAAATAAATAGATACAGGCCGGGTGGGGTAAGATAGGAGAGTTTAAAGGGCAGCCCGGTGCACTAAGCCATCGCTATGTGCAGGTCCGGGGAACGGCCAAACGACAAGGGTCTATTATACGCAACCTTAACCAGCATTTCTACAAGAGGCTATTTCCACGAACCGTGACCTCTTGGTCACATGGCAACAACTTTACCAATTACGCATTGGTTCCAAATAAGCCAAGAAGAAGAAAAAAAAACTCACATGAACTTGGTTCTCATAGCAGCATGGAACTTCTGCAAAGTATCCATAAAAAGTTGAGGAGAGGCCACAACATTTTCATATGTAGCCAATGGAGGTGGATATGGATGATAATTTGGCGGTGCTACTCTGAGTGGCACCGGACTGTTTTCAGCAGAAGATGATGCCATTTTCAACTTCTTATAACATACTTACAAAATCAACCCTCAAACTTCAATCACTCCAATGCTTGTTTTCTCAAGATTCTTCTCTATGCTGCAGATTACACAAATATAATTTAAAAACAGCTAGAAATTCCAGCAAAAGTATCAAGAAAACAACAAAAATAGTTCAATTTTTTAGACTAATTGAACCTTAAGGTCAAATTAAACATGTAAAAGGATTGTGATAGAAAACAGACAAAAGCTAGTCAGATGAAATTTCCAGAAAATAAGACTAATGAGTCCAAAACCAGTTAAGAATAGTCATATACAATCCAATAGTAGATGCAAGAAGATCCAAAAAGATTATAGGAAACAGACAAAACCAGAAACACAAGGGGTTAGTGCAACAACAAAAAAAAAAAAAAATACCGAGTATAATCACACAAATGAAGTGTGAGAAGGACAGTGTGCAGCAAACCTTACCCCACCTTGTAGAGAGACTGAAAATGCCACTAGAAAGAACTGAATAACAACAACCCCTTTAACTCCAAGTAGCAGAGGAAAATAATCAAAGCCCAAGAAAAGCATATAATAGTACACAACCATAGCTGTAACAGCCATGAATATTGTTTCAGAGTACCAAATATAGGAACACAAAAAGACCTATACAAAGCTTCAGAAATCTCAAAAGCAGAGACACCCTTTTAGGCTCAGGTCATAAATATCTCACATACATAAACAACCCTCTCTAGGTCTATTATATCTATATACATATGCTATAAATTATAAAATCTTTAATTCTGACATTCTAAAGATATGACATGTAATTGATTTTTAGTACTCTTTTTCAAGAACCCCATA